TTGACGCTCCAGAGGGCTTTACCGTATTAACAGGAGAAGCGGTGCAAGTGAAGTTAGACGCTTCCGTCGGACAACATGTGGTAATTTATAAATGTTTTAAATCAGGTTGGGTCCAGATTAGAAAGCAGGTGGGTCCGGATCCGGTCCGCTAATCCCTGACCTCTGCATTAAATGCTCAGCAGAATGTAATCTTACCTTTTTTCCCCTTTTCTGAGAATATCTAAATAATACAGAGAGAGATATTCTTTACATACATTTACAGGGCTTGTTCTCTGGAGATCTACACAATACAAAAAAATTGTAGGATCCATTTTTTTTCTAACAGTAATCTAATGTTGGAAATGCATGATCTCTGACCTCTGTGTGTTTCTGACAGCGTAGACTTTTTAACATTTGGTTATGTTTTTTGTTTTGTTTTTTATTCTGGAACTTTTTTTCTTTAAGCAAGATATCAGATTTTTTTTTAGATTGTTTACAATTCAGCTCTGAATTCCAAATATGGGAAGTGCTGCTGTACCAAGACCGGTGCTGTGATGAAAACACACGGTGACCTTAAGACCCGGTCGTACAAATGTTTTGCAGAGATTTTCCATCAACTGGTTATTAGTATTGGGCGTTGGGAACTGCAGGTCAAATTCAGGTTAGTATTCTGGTTTCTTTAAAGAGTTTTCTGCCTAACAAAATCCAGCAGATTGCATCGAGTCCTTGGCTTTCAGTATTCACTCCTCCTGGGAGTGCGACTGCATGCTTGTCACTTTTACATTCTGATGCCAAAAAGAAGACTCCAGCAGAAACTCAAGGAGCACAGGGCATTCAAACAAAGAAAAACACAGCTTATTTTAGAGAACAGTATTAAGGTAAAAGAACCTTCTTCTGTAGCTTCTTCTAGGAGAGAAACAGTTAAGCAGGTGAGCTCTGAGTTTTCAAGTCTACATGATGAAAAAGCACATATACTGAGCTGCAGCAGAAGCTCAGCCAGCACCACAGTCTAGGAGAGGGAAACATTTTAACCTGAAAGATAGAACTAAGTACATTATCTCTGGAAGAGAAACATGAAGTTGCTGCCAGTAACTCCTCCCCTCCATGATGACATCACCCCTGAACAGATTGCAGGGCCAGATGAAGCTACTATGAAAAAAGGAAAATAGAGAACATAGGTAAACACTGAAATAACAGCTAAAAATGCAATACTGGAAAACAGGTA